CTAGAGGGGGGGGGGGGTTTGGGTGGTTGAGGCAAGTTGAGGGTCGTGGGTTGTTCGGGAGCTGACAGGCATCAGCCTTTGCACCGCAGCCCAAATTAGACCCTGTCATGGCCCAAAAAAGTCTCTGAAACCGGGGCCTGGGCAGGCGTTGTCATTCGAGCAGCCACCTCTGCACACCAGAGGCCGCTGGGTTGAGGGTTTAGGGTTTAGGTTTCTGGTTTAGGGTTTCGGGTTTAGGGTTTAGGGTTCTTGGGGGGCGTGCCGGACTCTGGAAATTCACGCGTTTGGAGCTTGGGACACTTTTAGGACACTTTATGTGCGTGCCTGTACAGATAATGATAGAGGTGCGATTATACACAATACAATACAATACAGTGTGCTCCTCAAAAGTCTGTAAATTAAAGGGGCTCATGAAGATGAATAGTGCTAGACGGCATTTAAGCAATAGAACTGGCCCATAATCGTAAATGCAATGAAAGTATTAAGGGTTGTTCGGGGTTGTTCGCTTCGTTCACATCTTTTGTTCTATTATTACTGTGCTCTTTTGCTCCTGAAATGTACGACAGGAATAATAAAGGAGCAAGGAGTAAACAAGATAAGAAATAGCGTGCATTTTCGGCCCAATATGATATCGTGAGCGCTGTCGTTTTCTTATCTTTGCCTTGTGCGCACAGGGCCGTTAGTCCCAAAACGTGAGCGCTGTCTTTTTCTTATCTTTGCCTTGTGCACACAGGGCCGTTAGTCCCATACTTCTGCTGCCAAAACCAGCGTTTACATAGGGCTTGGAGGAGGTGTCAAGCACTGGAGAGCTCAATGCTTTAAGGGCCACAGTTGCTCTAGTGTTTCGATGTTTGCAGCTTGTGTGGTTTTGTGTGGCAGCCTAGGGCATTTAGGGCTTCCAGGGTGACGGCGGCCATCTGCAGCGTGTGAGACTACGCCTTTCATATTTTGAAGCTGTGTTTGGACCATGTGTTAGACCGATGTGTGTGTGGGAGACGTGGATTTGGGACCAAGGTCTTTTGCTTGGAGCATGGCTGCTGAACCCTGCGCCCTGTACACACAAAACCCTAAACCCTAAACCCTAAACCCTAAACCCTAAACCCTGAACTCCAATCGGTACTCTCTTGGAGGCCATCCTTCACCAACGCCAGCCTCCCAGCGGGGCCGCCGAGAGGGAAAGGGTACCGAAGCAGCGAAGCCTTGGGTTTTGGGGGTCGGTCAACTTAGGTAGCCCAGTGGTGCCCTACCTTTTCTCTGGTTCAAGGTTCCCTTATAAAGTAACCAACCCAAAAGAGGGTGCCCTTCTTGTAATATGATTACTGGGCTACCAAGACTAGCTTGTTTATCTTGGAAGCCCGTTGGTACCCTGTACCCTTGTTTGTTCGTTATGGCTTCCCGTACACAGTAACCAGCCATAAGAAGGGCACCCTTTTGGCTACTGGCTATTAAGTTATGTGCAAACCCCCAGCCTAGTTCACGGTACGGAGGTCGTAGGGAACATAACTTCATCCCTAGACTGTAGAAACACGAAGACGAGAAGCGGACAGGACAACCAGCGTTGAGGACAGCGTGACGTGTGGCCGCCCTTGAATCTTCCTAATATGCCATACTTCAAGCAAAGCTACGCATGAACCTTGAATTCGTCAGGGTAGTTGTGGCACAAGACCCTTGAATGCCGCAAGGCCATCTGCTGGAGTGTTTGTGGCGCCACCACTGCGGTCGCCATGCAGGCGCTGATGAGCACCGAAGCAGCCAAGTGGTAACACACGTCGAAACTAGCGGAAGAGCGTTTTAACCTGCAGAACGATATAGGACACGCAGAAAACGATAACCCAAACCCAGCATCCATGTCTTCAGCTTAACAAGCAATTTTGCAATTTTGACCGCAGCTCAATATCTCTCTCTCCCTCTCTCTCTCCCTCTCTCTCCCTCTCTCTCCCTCTCTCTCCCTCTCTCTCCCTCTCTCTCCCTCTCTCTCCCTCTCTCTCCCTCTCTCTCCCTCTCTCTCCCCCTCTCTCCCTCTCTCTCCCCCTCTCTCTCCGTCTCTCCCCCCCTCTCTCCCCTCGCCCACTCTCCTTCCCAGAACCCTACAAAATCCCAATGCTCTTGGAAGAGGCAGCGGAGCGCCCCGGTGCTTCTGGGCTCCCCCCCGGCGCGGGGGGAAGGGGGGGGGGGAAGGGGAAGGGGTTTAGGCTTTCGGGGTTCTCCTTGGTTTGCGTCGTTTGCGTGTTTGGGAAGATGGTGGGACTGAACTAGCGTCTGACGATTAGATACAACTTGGCCTTCATCCCGAGCTCCAACCTCGCCTGAAACCCTGCACCCAGCCCGAATCTCTCGCCTTGAGATGCCGCCCGAAGCAAAATCTCCACCAAACGCTTACATGGGCACAACACACCCACCAAGGGCAGAAGCTCCCAAAATGCCCAATCCGAAGCTCCATTCTCTAAACCTTTACCGACCACCAAATGAACCCAATCAATTCCCAACCCGACGCAAGAGGAACAGAAGTCGGATTCTCCACAGGCTCCAGCCTTCGTCCTCTCTGCCCGTGCGGCCGAAGGCCGTGCATACTTAGGACTTGTTCGATCGATTTAGGACTTCGTGTGTGGGACTTAGATTTGTAGGGCTGATTCGGGAGTGAAGGTGTGGCTTTCATGCTTATGTAGCTTAAACGCTGGGGAACGCAAAGCTGATGTGTGCTCTTGCAATGAGGAGTTAAGATTCTAAGATTGGGTTTGGGATGGAAGGCCATTTGGGGCATCAGGGTGCTGCGATTTGTGTTGGACGCTCCGGAGGTCTGGGGGCGGGGGGGGGGTATCCTGAACAACTTAAGGGCTAGAGTCCGGGCTTGAGTTCGGGTGCACAGCTGAGGCCCTAGATACGCTTAAGGGCAGCACATACACCTCAACGCTTGGGTATTACTACGCCTTCGGCGCATCGCCTGCGGAAGGGTCTCTGAATGCACAATAGACGTACGCTTGTCGTGCTTAGTTGTCGGGCGAAAGGCCGCGTCAAAGTGCCTGAACCTTAGAATTAGAATGGCCTAGGGAAGTCAACATTCGGGACCTGCCGCAGGCCAGTGGATGCATCCGCGCATCACACCAGCGGAAGCCGCTGTGGCCAAGGAAGCATCAGGGTTTAGGTCGCATGCTTGGAAAACTTGTGCCATTAAGCCCTTTCTAGAATGACGTCAGGAACAGAACTCAGGGTGACCACCCAGTCAAGCCGTGCTGCTTCGGAGCTTCCAGGTTGGTGCCTAATCGCCGCTGCAGAACGTAAGGTCGGAAGCGATAGGGCCCTCCCGAAGGCAGCTGCAACCATTCCACACGCAAGAGCAGCGCGCTGGCCTCTGGTTGCGAACCCCCAGTCCGAAGTGACACACATGAGCTTCGGGGGTCCGAGCCATGCCTCCTTGACTGTAGCCTCACGAAAGCTTCGTCGCAGGAGCGACTGGCCGGTGGGCGCCGGGGACCCCGGCGCAAAGGGTGAAGGACGAGGTTGGGAATGCTTGGGCCTTCCTCAGACTTCAGCTCTGGACTCCGAATGCTTGAAAATCGAGAGTAGTAGGCACAAGACACGCAACTTAGGGCCTAGGGTTTAGGATTGAGGGTTGAGGGTTTAGGGTTTGGGGATTGGGGTTTGGGGTTTTGGGATTTTGGGGTTTGGGATTTAGGGTTTACATATTAGGGTCAAACTCTGCACACGGAGCCCTGCCAGAGACCCCAATCCTTGAAGCGGGCTGAAGGCATACCGGGCAACCCAAAGCCTTCAAACCATCCCTAAACCCTAAACCCTAAACCCTAAACCCTAAACCCTAAACCCTACACCCTGACAACATGAGGTCCGGCGGCCACGGTGCCCGCCCCACAGGTTGCGGAGTGGGGGTTTCGGCTGTGCAGGTTCTTGGGGTTTGAGGGTTTTTGGGTCACCTACGGCGCCGGTAGACTGTAGACTGGCCCATGAGTTTTCGCTGAGAAGGGTTGGGGGTTTTGAACCTGCAATAGAGTCTGGCAGTGGCCTTCCATTCACCAGGCAAGGGTTCAGGGTTCTGGGTTCAGTTGCGGGCGGTGGCATTGAGGAACACCTTTCCGGCAGCTGCAAGACCCGAGCTGTAAACATTTCCCCGCTGTGCGTCCAACCCCCTACACCCTGAAGCCCGACATCCTCGCAGCCGGACACTTCTGGATGAAGGAAGCCGGAGGACGGTCCAAGTTCCAAGTAGCTTGTTTTAGGTGGAGTTGTGTCGGGGCTTAGGCTCCTACGTCGAGGATTGTTCCTCGTGGCCTGAAGTCTTGAAGTTGTTGCTTCGCGTCTTCTGCCTCTCGTGGGAGAAGGCATGGAGGCGTTTCTTCGCGGCTTGCTTGTGGACCCTAAACCCTAAACATCCCTAAACATCCCTAAACATCCTTAAACCCTAAACCCTAAACCCTAAACCCCAAAGCGTGGAAACCCCAAGCCTGGGCCCGGGTGGCAGGTCCTTTCCTTCGAGCAGCCCCTGCTGCACGCCAGAGGAGAGCCCTCGGGTTTGGTCGAGCTTCGGGTTCTTTTAGGGTTTAGGGCTTAGAGTTTGGGCTTGAGGGTTTCGGGTTTAGAGGAGTTTGGGGCTCTTTCTTGGGGGGGGGGGGGGTGGGGTTTAGCCCTTTAGCCCTTTTAGGGGTGAAAGTTCACAGGGGCCCAGAATTTAGGGGGACTTTTGCTGGTAGGAGTGGCCTGGGCAGTTAAAATGGCCACAAACTGGAGACTTGAACGCTCGCCGTGGTGAGCATGTCACCTGGCTTGAGTTGGCCCTGGATTTCCAGGCCAGTACACACATTGAACTGTGCGCGGCTGATGCTGATGGCGCCAAAGAGTTGGCTGGGAAGAGAGCGATCTTCTTTGCTTCCGCTGCTCGGCGTGTGTCGGTCATCTGCCAAGATGCGCTTGCCCCGGTCGATCCGTTTCCTAACAACCTTGCACGTAGCTTGGCTCCGCTTGGCTTGCCTAATGCGGGGGGCTTTCCGATGCGTCCCTTGTTTTTGCGACCGGACGTCGTCAATCGGATCTTGTACCAGGCTGCTTTGGAAAATTTGCAAACAAACTGTAAACTAGCTTTCATACCAAAGTTTGGGCAGTTAGGGGATGCACTTTGGAGCCCACATGTTGCTCTTGAGCTTGCCCGACCTCGCTATAGACTCAAAGTCAAAACGCGGGCGACTGATGTTCAGAGCAATCGCCCTGAGGTGTTGCGTCAGCCTTCCAATGTCCAGGAGGTGAGGGAACAGATTCCTTGGGATGCTTCCCAACCATACTATGTCCCGGGTTTGCGAAAGCTGCAAGTGTCACGTGAACAGAAGCGGCTGTTGCACAACCGTGATGCAGACGGCAAGGGATGGCATCGCCTTGCCCCTTTCTACGGTGCTGAAGGCAATGGTGATGCTGAGCTTGTATGCGTTAAGTGTCACCAGCGTACTGACTTCAACGGCTGGAAGCGCAAGTGGCAGCAGCGCCACTGTGGAGGTGCTAGTGGCGAAACTCATCAAGAGGTTGCTGTTGCTCAAGGTACGTTAAATTGGCGCAAGCGACGCGTGCGCCAACATAATGAAACTGCAGATGCAAACCACTTGCATCTGATTGCAGAGCCTCAGGCCCATGATGGGCGCATTCGATGCACACGGCCTCGATGCAGTGCCCATTTAGCATGGTGCCAGGCACGGACATTCTTCGCTCAGCCTTGTCCCGGCTGAGGTGTGATTTCCTTATCTTTTGGCTGCACAACCCGCGTATGGTTGCGGCCCGCTGGAGATGATGATGTGGTAGGAGTGGCCTGGAGGGTTTAGGGCTTAGGACGAGCAAAGCCTTGTTTAACCCACGGGCTGCCCGTTCACCTCTTAAACCCCTGCCGGTACCTCAACCTGAGAGTTCTCTCTCCACAACGCTAAATCCCTTAGAACCCCACGACCCCTTGAACCCCCTCAAACCAACAAACAACATAAGCACCGAAGCTCTCACACCCGCCTTCACTTCCTGATGTCCTTGGCCACTCTTTCCGACAGAGGCCCACCGGCAGCCACGACCCCTGCGCAGCGCGGGGTCCCAGACAGATATCAGGTCTCGAACCCGGATTCCGAAGATCATGGGTTGAGTTGTCTAGGGTCTCATGCGAATGCGGAAAGCACGTCTCAAGCTTGTCATTTCGGCATGAGCCCCCCTGCTATGTTATTCATTTTGTTGTGATTTTGGAGTTTCAGGCGCCAGGTTTCGGTAGGGCCGGCTACGCACTGCAGACCCCAAGCCGCAAGACCCTGAGCCTCGAAGAGAGGCGCCCTTTCAGGATTGAAGGTTTGTTTGGTCTTGTTGGCGTTTTACAGGACATCCTGCGTCACTCTGCTCCAAGAGCCCAGCTGCCCCCCAAAGCCCGCTATCAGCTCTGGACCGCCTTCTAAAGGTGGAACCACGGGCGCTTAGTATGTCCCCTTGCCCTTGTTTATAGGGATCCGAAGTACGCGCCCTTGTATATCAAGGGGCCCAAATACCCTAAACCCTAAACCCCAATCCCTAAACCCTAAACCCTATACCCTATACCCTAAACCCTATGCCCTAAACCCTAAACCCCAAACCCCCCGATACTTGGAACCTTAGAAGGCCTGAAACACGCACATCTGCAGGCCGCCTGCCGGGGTCTTTGTGGCACCTCCAATCTGCTCGCCGTGCAGGCAGGGGTTAGGGTTTAGGGTTTAGGGTTTGGGGTTTGGGGTTTAGGGTTTAGGGTTTTAGGGTTTAGGGTTTTAGGGTTTAGGGTTTAGGGTTTAGGGTTTAGGGTTTAGGGTTTAGGGTTTCGACGCGGCTTCACAAGCCTTAGGCTTTAGAGTTAGACAGCCGCTGAGAGCTGTAAGAACACAAAGGCACATCGCCTTTGACTGAGGGCCGGCGCGAGTGTGCGAAGTGCTCCATCTTGCCACTCCACGTAGGTTGGGGTTTGGGGTTTAGGGTTCAGGGTTCAGGGTTCAGGGTTTAGGGTTTAGGGTTTAGGGTTTAGGGTTTAGGGTTTAGGGAGCACAGCTGAGGTGTATCTGGTTGTCAAGTGGTTTGGAGAGTTCTCGGTCCTTGCCGCGTTTCGACTTTTGCGAGCTGCACCCTAGACTGGTCTGCTTTGGCTGCCGTGAGCCCCAACTTCCAAAAGTGAGTAGTGTAAGTGCTACTCAAGTCGGCAGATTTTACGAATACGTCGCTGGGCATACATCACCCCACCCCCCTCCCCCCTAAGACTCTCCAAGCACAGCAAAGCACAGCAAGTCCCAGTTCAACCAATCCCTGACTTCCTAAGTTCTGCAAATTTTTAGCCCTTCAAATTTCTGCAGCCTTGTAATCCCTCGATCCCGCCTTCAGGCAGCGCAGCGCCCCAGTATTGTTGGGCTCGCCGCAGGCACGACATGGAGGGCGCAGCTATGGCCGGGGCATCCGATCAGCAAACTGCCATATGAGAACGCGCGCGATCAAGAGGAACATATATTGGGATGTTCCCCCTGTTACTAACCGTCCTTAATAGGGACTATATTACCCCCTATTCTAGTCCCCCTATTGAGGACGGTTCGTATAAGGGGGAACATCCCAAAGCATATAACAGAGCGCTACAACACTTACGCAGAACCCTAGCATGGTCTGGCATTGTGAGACTCTTACTGTGACCGGGACTGCCACTAATCATAGCCACCGACCTTCTACTAGGCACTCTGAGTCTCTTGCACTGTGACATGCCACACCACGGAAACGAACGTTGACCCTAAAACTCTCAACTGCATGAAAAAACCATGAGGTCCTAAACTTGCTTGCTTCTTCACGTCTCCTTCTCCTCAGACTTCGACCCAGGTATATTCCCAAGCCCTGAAGCCTGAAATCGTTGAACGCCCTTCCTTCACAGGGAATTGTCAGCGCGATGCTTCTGACATTTGCTTGACATACCTGATGCAGGAACACCCTGCCGTCGCCAACCCCTTCTTAGGTTTTACTGGGTCCTCCATCAGAGGCAGTCCACCACCGCAGCCGTCAATTTCGTCATCCCTAAACCCTAAACCCTAAACCCTAAACCCTAAACCCTAAACCCTAAACATGGTGCCTCCAGTTTTGTAGGCCCCTGCCGTGGTCATCTCCGCCCGTGCACCTGAAGGCTGGGAGAGGGGGTGTGAGTCTGACTGTAGCTAGGTGTCGATTTGGGACTGTTTTTCATTTCCCTTAACTTATTGCTCAGTATGGAGCCCTGATTGTAAATAATTTTGGGGACTTTTGAAATCGACGCCTAGAAATTTGTGGTTTTGGGCTTAGGGTTGAGGATCCAAGTGTGTCAGAGGATGCATCTGACGCGATCACTACTCAAAAGACACCCGGCATTCCCACGCCCTCATGCAAAGAACGACTGCTATTCATCCTCAACTCGCATTTCAGGCTTTGGGGTTAAGGCCTCAGGGAAGTCATGTCCAGCGTCGGATATTCTAGGAAAGCGATCGCTTCGGCTACTTTGGTGCTTCACGGCGCAACGGTCGCTTTTACACATTTGCACAGACTCCGGCGTCTTCATCCAAAAGCAACCGCTCAGCAAGGCTGTGGGCATAGTGTGGGCGCTATTTGCATTCTATTCATCAGACATTATACACACATACTGCTGTACTGTACTGAAGGCAATTGCTAGGACAAGGTGCTTGCAACACCATGTGCAGCACACAGGTATCTGCCATATTCTATACTTTGAGTCCCTGCGGACAGGCAATCTGCGAACAGGCAGTGGTCCCATGTCGGTTTAGCCACGCGGTGCCGAAAAACCTTTTTTTTAAAGTCCGTGGCTATTCGGCAGGCCAGAATGATGCACAGCCCTCTTTCCATCAGTCACGGTTTTAGCGCTCTCATGAAGAGTACATCTCAGGGTCACGAGGTATGAAACTCCTTAAGCCCGAACCCCATCGGCACAATCCAGTACTGCGCTCCCTTTTACGGTGTCTTCCTCCCATTTTCTGACGCAGTCGAGACCATAAGAGTCTCCTTGTTGACCAGTTTGTCAACGTCCATTCGGGTATTTACCAAAATAGGGGTACCCCGCTTATATCCCAAAATTGAATAGAATCCCCTTAAAGGGACCCTCGGAAAGGGTACCCCTATTTTCGTAAACCCTAAAGCCTAAAGCCTAAACCCTAAACCCTAAACCGAAAACCTAAACCCTCAACCCTAAACCCTAAACCGTTTAGGGAAGTGGGAAGCAGCCGGAGGCCCATGGATGAATGTGCCAAGCGAGGCAAGGGAAAGCTCTGTGGCCAAGGACGGGGGTCGCTATCCCGGTCGCAAACGCCCCAAAGCCGGAGAGCCCAAAAAGTCTGAACCCCCAGGGACCCCGTTTGGGTTCCAGTTTCGCAGATATCACTTAGATCATGAGCCCTCAACTAGCCCTTCAGCCGTGGGAGCTGCATGGATGTAGCCGGACTCGGGAGTCCAAGGCTTTTCTGTTGAGCTTCCTGCCTTGCAGTGGGCATTGATGCAAGTGCTGTCAGGAGCGACCGCTGAGCGGTTGGGGGCTCGGCTCACCCTAAACCCTAAACTCTAAACCCTAAAGCCCAAAACCCTAAACCCTAAACCCAAAGGCCAGGCTACAGAGGTGTGTTGAGGGCCTGGACCCCGCATGCGTCCATCATCTACTGTCTGCTTAAGAGACCCCCAAACAATAATCCCTATATTGCCCTGATAAGGAAGGAAGAATATGTTTGGGGGGTTCTTAAGCAAATAGTAGTCATGTCGGTCATTGCAACATGATACATCTGGTTGAACCCTACAGACATCGTGAACCCTATCGCAACAAAATCTCACTATCGATTAGGACGCCGACCTAACTTGGGGCCCTTAAAGCCGCGTCTCTTGAAATCACCCGTTTGTGAGGCAGGGCCAGGCTTGTAGCTCTTTGAGCCTATAAACTCTGAACCCTGAGCATTAGAAAACTACAAGCGCCGAATCGCTGAAGCCAAAACCCGATGTTGAGCATGAGGCACACTTCATCCGTGATCCTTTCGAATGGTCAACTGTTGAAGTCTTCGCAACCCCTTCCCTGTGCGTGTGCAAAGAGCCTACGTATGTGCATTGCAGCTCCCCGTTGCAAGCCCCACTCTCAATATCAAGCGCTTCTGCCCATCTGGGCCTCGGAATGGGCTTTAGGGTTTAGGGTTTAGGGTTTAGGGTTTAGGGTTTAGGGTTTAGGGTTTAGGGTTTAGCAGAGCAGTTTGCAGGTCCGCCAGCTGCAGTGCCGGCACAGCAGGCCCCAGCAGGGGGAGTTAAAGCTAAGGTATTGCGGTTGGAATGCTCAACCCTAAACCCTAAACCCTAAACCCTAAACCCTTATACTAACAGCCCTGAATGGGGAATATAGTAGCCCCCTATTATAATCCCTATTAAGGACTGTTAGTATAAGGGTGGACATCCCAATATTGCGTTTTCAGGATTCAGGGTTCAAGGGGTTTAGGGCGCATCGCGGGTTTAAGGGTTGTTTGTCTGCTTCGAGGCAATGTGAAGACGCGGTGCTCATGTGGGCCTGTGGGACGGAGACAGTCTCCCGAATCTTTCCGGCTGAGCTCGTTAACCCGGAAACCAAAGTTTTAAAATCGTAGACAGTAAGCCCCAAACGCCGCAAGCTTCCCCCCTGGAGGGTTTGCGATAATCAGGGACCCCTAATGTAGACTCCCAAATAGTAGGATCCCCTTCTAAGAAGGACCCC